TTTGAGATCGGCACGCCATTGTCTTCAATATTGACATGCAACGACTCTACTCCATGAGCTAGCTGTTTTCACAATGCAGAATACGCTCAAGAAGGAGAGTCTAATTGGCCCTCTGTCGGCAGAAAGAGGGTTGACTGCGATAGGAGTGTTAGTTCATAGTATAATGCAAGATGGAAGACATACTTGGACCACCATTGCTCTCACCTCCTATGAAGAATTTGAAGCATAATTAGACAGTAGGTTTAGGCATGTACCGCTTTCTTGGCTTGATGTGTCTGTCCTCGAGTGGAGACCATGGAATGGGAGGCAAGGTAAAAATGAGTATGGGGCCCAAAGGTGAATAATGGTTTTAATAGGATATTGATTCCTTTGTTCAATCCATGCTGTCCTGAATTCCATTTTTGGAAGGCATATTATTCATCTCTACAGTACACTTTATATCCTTTTTATGGTCTCTATATGTACATATTCATTACCTATATTTTCCTGACCATTCACTCACTTTCCTGACCTCCCTAGGACTTGTCTAGGTTAAATTATTCCTTACCTTTGTGTTGTGGCTTGTCTGTTTATATTTGTTTACCATACATCACCCATATACCAGAGTCCAGTGCTACCTGCCTCTTCAGCAACTTACTCTGGACTCTAGGCACTGTATACCTTTACAATACTTGAATACATTGGCAACTTACTCTGGACTCTAGTCCTGATCATCTTTGGTCACTCAGGAGCCTCTAGAAGTGGTCCATTCACTTCCCATTATAACAGCAAGTTCATTGCTGTTGTGCCTGTGGGGGTTCCATTTATGCACCGATACTCATTGCTGGGCTCAGGCTCCAGGTATTCATCAAATTAATGGTTGGCACTACCCACACGGACGTAGCAAACATGTTGTGATCACCTCACAAAGGTATGTTTCCACATTCTTCAGCATAAAATGATGAAACTAAGACACATGCTTCAACTCCCATTTGGTCACTATTCCACAACTTGCAATGCAGTTGTCATATTCTGTACCTGAAGCTTCTTGTCCGGTCTGGTCCGTCCGTTCTCTCGGGTCCATTCTAGAATTCATTTCCCCGTGTCCCCATTTGTATATGCTTCTTGATGCCCCTATACGCCCGGATCCTTCTGACAGTTAATATCCGGGTTCATTCTGATCCATCCGTTAGTCTATTCATTTCCCTTTCATTTAACTTGTCCCCCCTGTTTCATTTAATCTCCGGCTCCATTCTCGATCGTCCACAGCAGTTCATATCCGTTAGTACATTTTCTACATAGCCCTCTGATCCGAAGACTGCGCTTCGGCCGGAAACCTGTCGGATACACTACAGTATATAAACCCTTTGTAACCCGTAGTATTTCCTCAGTTCGAATATTAACTTAGACTCTGTTCAATCCTCGTGTCCTCTCAGCTCTTAGGATTATTATCCTAGTCCAATCCTCCGAGCCTCGGAATTATATCCCTAAGGCTAAATACCTCCGCCTCTACCTTCGGGTAGTCTATACCTTGTTAGTTACTACCCGGACAAAGTCTCGGGTAGTCTTCCCTCTTTCGTCCAGCCTGTCCATACCCCTCTCTCTCTCGTCCGGCCTGTCTATACCCTTCGGCCGACGATATCTAACCCCCTGTAAATTAGGGGCACGTACTCGGGTAAAGAGCGCAGCGCACAAGCTGAAGCTAAGCCCCTCCGGTCCGACCCATTGAACACGGTCTTAACAGGTACAGAGACTCTTTGAGTTGTTTGATAATATCAATACTAGTAAGTATTGTAAATTTGATGTTGAAATGTGATGATATGTGAAATTTTCTGACCTCTGTCCGTCAAATGAAGCTTGTGTTTGACTGTCGTGTGTACAAGGCCCCTTCCTAGTACTGATTTCTTTTCAAATTCTGATGTCCGCCACCTCAAAATTTGCAGAAGTAAGACCACTGCTCGTTCACTATATTGTAAATGATGCTCACTTAGCTACTGTGACTGTAGAAGTCTGCGGCATTGCCCACTGGCGGAACAAATCTCATTATATGAAACTCAAGTTCATTCCCCATTCCAAGCAGAATCTCCAGCAGAAAGAACTGGATAATTACCCTCTAATCTGGCACACTTGTCTCAGTGTGCCTACGGTGTTTGAGCACAGGCATTGCATGGATTGGTCATACCTGGTCCTAGAAGATGTGGGCCCTGATCTCAGCACTCTTCGATCAGGACAGTTGTTGATTAAAACTGTTGTGGGTACAACAAATCTGCTGAAGAGCAGAAAGTGGGCGTCGGGTCTTGCTGCCTAGCTGGTATGTCAAGGTAGACAGTGTAAGAACCTAAAGGGTTTCTGAACTAGGCTCAAGGCTCAGAGAGAGAGGATAAGAGAACTGCATTCAAAGTCACACCAGATGATAGTAAGGGTAAGACCAACATGATTATGTAAGCAGTCCAAATGCCAACATAAGCAAAGTAGATAGGGGTAAAATAAGCTTAACCAGAAACTGGTTCCTACACCATGGTAAGGATTATTTGGGGCATAGTCACAGCTACTTGATCTCACTAATATATCTACTCATCCATTATATAAGTAGGTCTTGTGCCTTGAGGAAATTCACGACTTAGGCCACATCCATGCCGATGTCAAGCCAGCAAATCTCTGTTATTCTGAATGTAGGATTTATGGAGTAAGTGCAATTGATTTCGAGCAGCTTCAGCACTATCCAACTCCTGGGTGAGCCACAGTATGTACCCTACTGGGTGACTTCCTGCGCACTTTGTGGAGAGAGTGGGTCACTCCTTATGGTCCTTATACCTCCCTAAGTTAAATCCAACAGGGTTGTCACGAAAAGATGATCTCCAGTCTCTTGCTTACATCATGATTTATTTTATTTCAGGCTCATTACCCTAGAGCGCCTGCTCTAAGTCTGTAACCCAACAGATGAGCATCAAAGAAGGGATGTCAACAGCTGCACTTTGTGGCAGTCTGCCCTCCTCATGCCAAGTTTTTGCCTAGCACTACATAGCACTGAGCCTTGAAGATGAGCCAGATTATGCATTAATGGGGACGTGCATGGAACTGCTGTGGATGGATGTCTGCATTATAGATCAGTAACAGTACAATCATCCATCCCCAACTCATGGATTTTCACTGCCTGTTTTATTCACATGCTATATGTACATGATATGTGGATACTCGACACACTTTCAGTCATAGAAATACATTTGAACAATGTTACATGCAATTTGTCTTTTGCTTGTCGTTTTGGATCATTTTGCTACTCATTCCTCCAATTTTTCTTCTTTTACTGTCATGATTCTGATATCCCCAGAAATGCCCAAGCTGCGTAATCAAAGAGCCCATCTTTAATTACATAATTTCCCACTACTGCCTGATATTCTTAGGCTGTGCTAATTCTGCTATGGGTCTTACCCAGCCGAATACCTTAGTTTATTCCCTCTATCCTTACATCATACTCATGTTGAGAGCATCAATCACGAGCCCATTCAGTGAATTCACCTGTCTGAGATGGACAGCCGAGGGTGACAATGTACCAATAGAGATGGGCCAGCCCATGTGGGCCCATGGCAATAATTGTACCATGATAGATGAGTGGGCCAAGGGTGGTGTGTACCTGATGCAATCAGATGGGCCGGTGGTATATAGGCAAAGGCATCAGGTGAGCAGCACGTGTAGATTTGATTTTTGATTGGAGCTACATGGTTTTTTGGGGATGGGGATTCAGCTGATCACCATTTCCGCTCAAGAAGGCAAATGGTGCAATCAACCCGTGGAGAAAGCTTCCTTGGATTCCCTAAAGGTGAAAGGTGAGGTTCACCTTGTCGACCAAGAACATGAGAGTTCCAAGCTGCAGCCCATTGACCACTTTGACGGGGTCAAAGTACCGAAGTCATCAATTAGCATTACCAGAAGGGACAAACTGCAAAGCAAGACCATGATCTACGGAAACAGAACTGAAGAATGAAGGAACAGACTCAGACTGGTACTGGTGAAAGATTGACTGGATTATGTAAGCAGTAAGAGTGCCAACACAAAGCAGGTAAAGTATCAATTGTGAGGCAAATTTAGGCTATGTAAGTACGTCAAGCTTTATCTAATTTGTAATAATTTCCAATAGATAGACAACCCAAAACCTTAAAAGCAAAATTAATGCATATCAAGAATGTGTTTGGTGGGCCTATTAAAACACCCAGTGCTCTGGATGGAGAATCTGCATGCCCGCCTGCTTTGCAGACATCCTGCCAGGGTCTGTGACCCACCTTGCCCTTCTGCATCTGTGTTTGTGGACCTCGACAGATTTTCCAGCTTATCCCATGTCAGCAACATCCTTTCACCCTCTACAACCACAATACATCCTACTGTCACCCCTTGCACTCCCACCACCCCAATCATGACTTTCCACATAACAAGCATTCCCCACCACTGTCCCCGCAACCCTGGCAGAAATCATACCTCGAGTCACCTCCCCAGTTGGTGCCATCAGGGGTCATGGCAACTGCAATGGTAAGCAAGCACCTCTCATCGCATGTGACGTGCTAACCACAATCAGGCCCTGTGGGATTACATGTTTGAAATCGTGCAATATAACACAGCAGGGCGGAAAATGATCAGGCACCTTCCCACCCCCCTATCCAAATGTCATGTCGTGACAGATGCCTGCTTATGCTGATGGCGGAGGAGAGATGCAATGAGCTATTCCAGCTATTGGATAAAGTGAACGAAATGGAGCAACTTTTAGGATTGGAGCACCTCCAAGAGAGTGCATTGAGTCCTGCCCCCGACGGTCAGTGTAGTGCATTGAGTCCCGTAGCCACATAGCTGTTACAGTGCCTCTCGGCGGACAACATACCACAATGTGAATTTAAGTGCTGCCCACCTATCCGTTTACAAGTATTGTTCGGTTTTCCTGGAGAAGAGAAGTGAAGAAATGAGTGTCTCTACAAAATGCTGATAAAAGTGTGACATACTCAACTGTAAGGACCTTGATGACCAGCAGGACTTCAGTAGTCTGCTTTTTTCAAGTACTTGGAGTTCTTACACGCCCAGTGGACCACATTTACTTCTGAATCATACTTTCTCTATACATTGTATACAAAAAATAGCATGTACGTAGGAAGGATGGACATAGCTCGCAAAGTAAAATTAGAATATCATTGGGACAAGGATGTGATGTATCCAAGCTAACCGAACTGAGGGCATCGTCACTATCCTCAGGATCTAGCCTACGTTTCTTGCTAGTTGGTGTGACTTGCACCCACACTGGCGTCAGGATCTGCAAGACACATAGCAACTTCATGTATGTGTAATGTTTAGTTGGCTTCTTGCTTGGTTGTAGTTTTTGCAGTGCGGCCACGTCTTGATCAGGCCAACTGGATGACTGAGGTGCTTGTTGTAAATCTTGATGACATACATGGTCATGTAAGTGCAGGACCTTCATACCTATCTCCTTCTTGTACGCAGGCAACTCCAGCACAAAGCCTTGGAGGGCATCTATCATCATTTGATGTCCAGCCGTGTGTACATGCTCTTCCCCCTTTTCGGCCAAAGCATCCTTCAATGCCATCTGTATTCGCCACATAGTACAGTAACTTATACCCGTAGTAGACGGACAGCTAAGGGTGACAATGTAGCAATACAGACGGGCCAGCCCATGTTGGCCCATGGTAGTAATTGTACCATGCTAGACGAGTGGGCTGAAGGGTGGTGTGTACCTGTTGTAAACGGATGGGCCGGTAGTATATAGTGTAGATGGTAGTATAGGAATGGACTATATAGGCTATCTATGTGAATAGCAATGAATACAGTGCACTATGGAGATGAGTGGGCCGGTACATAATATGTGCAATGGATGACGAGTGGGCCAGGGAGATGGGTGCGATGGGGATGAGTGGGCTGGTACATACTATGTGCAATGGTTCACGAGTGGGCCGATGGATGGGGTGGGATATGTGAGGTGTAATACCCTATCTGGTGCATACATTGTAGACTAACGGGTCGGGGCTGCATGGTGTAGCGGTACCATCGCCTGCTTACCTGGGTTCGATCGCTTGCCGACTGTGATCATTGCACAGCCACAAGATAACAGAACACTCCTTCACTCAACCACATTCGGAAGTGCGGGTAGTCCAGCAGGATAACCGATACCGGGAACTGACGGTGGCGTGCAGAGTGGGGGCCCGCACGTCCGGGAATGGGCAACCTGAGAGCTATCTAAGTACCAATTTCGGCCCTGCACTGAGGCACATCAGTGCTGTTGTTAGTCGGGTGGGAAAAATAGGAGGGTCTAGGGGTCATGTGGAGGGCGAGGGGTCACATGATTTCGCCACTTATCCTTGAAAGAAATATGTTGAAGGGTTGCACGAGAAATGGGGGAGGGGTGTACAGACTCGTCACACCCCCGGCAGACGAAGAAGAAGAATAAAAGAAGAAACAGAACCCATATATATTATCACCTTTAGCTGGCCTTACCCGTTCTCGCTCCAAGCCTGGACCAATGTCTTACACCACCTGACGCATAGAAGAACACAAATACATTAGAGTAAATATTGTGCATGTACTGTCTACCATAGGGCAATGCCCCAACAGACAATAAACAATGATTAAAAAAAAAAAAACTAACGGGAGACGAGTGGGCCAATGGATGGGGTGGGATATATGAGGTGTAATACCCTATCCGGTGCATACATAGTAGACTAACAGGAGACGAGTGGGCCGATGGATGGGGTGGGATATATGAGGTGTAATACCCTATCCGGTGGACACAGAGTACACTAATGGGAGACAAATGGATGATGTGGGATACACTATCCGGTGCACATAGTATATGATAACAGGATACGAGTGGGGTGAGGGATGGGGTGAAATATGTGACCCTATCTGGTGCATGCAGAGTGTATTATCTGGACATGCACATCCGGTCCGTGTGGTATATACATCCGAGTCTATCATACAGTGTATGATAACAGGAGACAAGTGGGGTGAGGGATGGGGTGAAACATATAAGGTGGATGTCATGATACCATATCTGGTGTATGAAGCGTGTATTATCCGGACATGCAATCCGGTCCGTGTGGTATATACATCTGGGTTTATACCCATACAGTGCTTCTATGATATCAAATGAGATTGACAGGCAACATGTACGTGACTGAATACATGGTCATATTTTGCATACTCCATGCTTGGAGTCCCAACAAAATTGTGGATGCTGTCTCGCATGTACCACGCAGTGACAATCCTGTTACCCTCTTCCACGTTCATGTAATGTCTCACCAGTCGACATGATGAAGCCAATATTGAGCCAGAGTCGTATAGAAATTTGATACCAAGGTTCATAAAATCCATGATGGCCAGGTGATAAACACCAGCAGTCGTCATGATATCAAATGCTGCCGGTCGACATTTGGGATCTCTATGAGGGGGTGTCCAGTGATTGCATATGATCGATACCACGTTAAAAACGGATGTCCAGCGTTGAAGATGATGGTGCATGTCGTCTAATCCATATTGTGCAGCCCATGTACCAAGCCTGACTTGAGTTTCCATTCTGGCCCAATAAAGATCAGGGTGTATGACTCGAAGTGCAGCAGAGACAATGATACCGGACCTTTGAAGGGATACCATAATCTTGCAACCAGCTTCACCTTTCAGTGCCGCTGATACCTCTGGTGAGAAGCCATCTTCCGGGTCGAGATTTGGGAAGCCATGTTTCTAGAAGAGTTCAAACCGGTAATTTCAATGCATGTGAACCGGACGTACCTCTCTTCCTTGCTGAAACCATGCAGGGGATATATTGATGCAACCGGGAGTGATCATTCCATCCGGACTTGGGTGAAGGTTGGACCGGTGGGTCCTCCATTGAGAAATCTTGCCTGTCGTTATGCTGTGTTTCAATAAACCACTCATGGAATGTGAAGCACCATGAATATCGCTCTGTGATAAATATCCGGGTAAGATAAAATGCCAAATGGAAATTGATACAGGACCAACCATTATCATGGCTGTCAGTGCTCCGGGTAAATACCAGACAATGATTCTACCGCTGGAATCAATGACAACAGATGGGGTTGTCAAGAAATGATCCTCTTCAGGAGGAAATTTGTTGAAAAGAATCTCCTCTCGTTTCTCACTTCAACCGGATTCATGTTTGTCCAGGGCGTCATTATATCTGACCATGTCTATGTTAAGATGAACTTTCTGCAGGTGAGTTTACCGGAACAGACAAATGCACCGGAATACCTACCGGCGTTAGAGTAAGCAGTGGCCATCACATTGGTGAGCTGCTCCAAAGCTATACAAGTGTCGATATCCAAGAGACCAAGGTCCATATTCTTTACCGGTCGGTGAAGAATTGTAGACGTGAAAATCTCATGCACCAATTCACCGGCAAGGTAGGTCTGGTACAAGGCCCAGTCAAGTGGAATGGTAACCATGGCTTGCCAAAACACTCAAGTGACAATAAAGTACCACTGTTATGGGTTGGAACAAATAGCTCAATATTCACACGACCTGATTGCATGGACAAACATCATTTACATTCTGGTAAATATGTCATGATCGTGTAATAGATCGACCAGATAGCGGCAGACATTGGATTGTAGTCTACTGTGACATGGATACACTGTCATCTATATTCAACCGGTCAATGAGTGCCTGTGATGATGACACAGCCTTTGTGATTTCATCAATTGGCCCAACCAATCCGGCCAACTGATCACTTGAACGTCTAAGATTTATCATTCTTATCTGCAACATATCCGCCAACTCTCTCCCAATTGGTGTCCGGTGGCACTGCACATGAGATGTTGAACCAGGTGTATCAGGCAGTTCATCCAGACCTTGCACAATATATGGCAGAAGGCTGGTCCTCACATGATCAGGCTTTCATAGAGGGTGTGAGTATCCGGTGTTAACAAGATCTTATGGACCTACCAGCTGTGAAAAGTGCCATCTAACCAAGTCCATAACATCTTGGACACATGACTTGGGTAACATGTCTGAAACCCTGCAACAACCAAGTGATTCCTTCCACCAGTCATTGAAGTAGTCCGGCATATGAGCAATGTCATAGTCATCGGATGTGTTTGAATCTGCAGAGAGGCGCAAGGCCCGGATATCCTGGAAAACGGCATTGACATCCAGTCGCCGGTCCGCCAATGTGTGTGCAGTCATGGTTGAAAGCACATCCTTGAGAAGTTGAGGAATAGTCGTGGACAACCGGGTGGTAACACATGTTGATAAAAGGTGTTACAAATGTCTATATGACAGGAAAATATGAGAGCATGTGAGTATCAGCATGGCTGGCTACCCACCTCCATCTCCCATTTGATCAGGGTGTAGAAACATTCTGCATAACCAGGCACCGCAGGAGCAAAACTCTTGTCAATGTGCAGGCGCATGGCCAGCAGACGGGAATTAGCATAGAATAGGGCGCGAGAGATATCTGCAGCTGTGATTTGATTGCCCTTGGCGGCAATGATGACTTGGTCAGATGGGATGAGAGTTACAGTATTGTTCATGGAGAGGAATGTGATGCAATAGTGTGACAGACAAGCTAGAATTATTTACATGCCAACATAAGTATACACTACCAAACAGGTGTTATCAACCGGCAACCAGCAACCACAATCAAGGTTAACCGGTACCACCAACAATGTTGACCAGTACCGGTACTTCTAGCTGAACCAGCATTTTCTGAAAAGAATCCTCTGCGTGTGCTGCTAGTTGCTCATATATGTGAGATTGTCTGGCAGCATAACATGCATGTCCGGTGAGCCCGGCAGAAGTGGCATTGCGCATGTGACCGAGCCATTGCTTGGCTCTGTGGTTAAAGAAATTGATTGACCACTGCATTTCATGTTTGACAAGAATAACTTCCTCATTCCAACGATTGCACAGTGCTTTCGTCCAGAGCCAATTAACCCGGTAAACTATTATGAAAACCTGTGAGACCGGACGACCTGGTATATCCGGATGCAACAGACGCTCACATTCTGTCATCCAGTCGTTTCCTGATGTGTCGCCCTGGACATCCAGAGACCAGAACCATGAAAGAGTGGTGTCCCTCTGACCACATGCATTTGGATTGGCCACTGCAGAGCTGGCTTTGAGGTCTTTTTCAAAGGAAGGTATTTCTTCAAGAGGTCGTGGTCAGGGAGTTTGGCCAGTTGCGACCGGCATTTTGAATAGATACTTGCATTGAGATTTACAGCTGTTTCCACCGAGCGAACTCGAGTCCATGCCCTAGTAGATGATGCCTGTGACTTGGCCGACCGGACAGTATTGCGGAATATAAGGGCTTTATCTCCTAAATGAACTCTAATGGCATGGAGTGCGTCATTTGCCTGGCCTTCTCTGAGGGCAATTTCTTCTTTCATGAGATTGGTGAGACCTAACTCCCTGCACCTCACCTCACCAATGTTGGATGGCAGAGGTATGACAGTGAGCTCCGGTTGAAATATGGAAGTGTCGAGTGGGTCCGGATCAGGATTTTGATCATCGTCGAGATCAGAGTAATCTTCACCATGGTCATGGAGTGAATTATGGACATTATTCACAGGAGCATCCGGGTCATTGACATCGACTTCAACTCCAAGATAAGTAGGTGCCATCTCGAGAAAGCTCGTGATCTGAGTATGAAGCTTATCCCGGCATCGCGCCACTCTCAACAGTTGCATATCTGTTGGATGCATTCGTAAACGTTTCACATCCTTGGAGAGAGAGATTTGGGATTCCTCTATGGTGAGACCGGTTGCGAGCCAGGTGGCGGCTCCTCGGTGACCGGGGGGGTTGATGTCCGGATGTTCAGGGCGATTTTGAGCCTGCAACAAACATAACTCCTGCTGTTTTCATGCTGGAGCTGTACAACAGTTTTATCAGACCTGCCGGAAACCCAATAAACCCTGACACTTACCCCTTTCCAACCGGACCTCATAGATGTCCATAGCTGTAGGATCATCGGCTCTGTTCTCATGAGCGAGTGTCTCCTCTGCCTCCCAAAGAATGACCATGTCAGGGTGGGCTGTCTCATTGAGATTATAAAACGCAAGTGTGCTCTCCGCAGCACCCTTAATAGCCTCTTTCAACTTTCTGGACAGAAACTTGGCTACCGGACGTGCCAACCGGACATGTATTATATCAGTACAGACTATATTTACATCCGGAGGTGGGCGACTTACTTATACAAATCATTTTCATAAAGTTGCAATCATTCATCTGATAGTCCAATACCTCCTTGCGATGGGGAGTTCCCATGCCCCTGGCCGAAGGAGAGATTATATTCAAAGGCGCCCAGAGGGTCTCCATAATCTCTCCATCTATCCTGCCAGTCCCGTAGATGAAATTTGATGCATACCGGACAAAGCAGCTGTCTTGATGTCCATGTACATGCCACAAACTGTTACGATAACATGCCTCGGACCGGTCCCCTATCTTTTTTCTCTTATCTTGTACTGCCATATGACGTCCCCATCATCTTCTTGAACAGCATTCCTGATCACCATCCTATCTCTTATCTCTTATCCTGTACCCTGTACCCTTACCAGTGATTCGGTAACCTTGCCCTGAAGTATCCCTTACCTATAAGTAGTCGATCTACATATCCTGTATTCTTTAACTTGAATCTACTCAGTATTCTGATAGACCTTCCTTCAGCAAGATTGCTCTCGTATACGATTTCACTCAAGACTCTTCGTCTTAGTGTCTATACTCGATCGATACCATTAGCCTTGTCTTTACTTGACGACTCTTGTCACCAAGTCTTGACACCAACGATAAACGATAAACGAACCTCTGCATCATCTTCGTCTCTGCTGAGACTTAGTACAGAGCTTTTCACCTGAGTCTACGCTTTCAGCGTAACACAAACCTATTCCGGGAATGATATCCATACCGGTTGGTATGGAAAGATACATGCTGGAAGTGATCCGGTCCTTCAAATACTTATTGTACTGACAATTTATGTCATAGAAAGTTATGGCGCGAGATATTCCGTCGGTCTTGTAGTTGAGCGCTTGACTTAATGCATAGTCCATGTTCATCTGCCTGATTAGTCCAAGTAAGAATTGCAAGATCAGCCATTGATGTGACTGGATGAAACATGTACCAACCTTTCGCCTTTCTGAAAGTCCACCATGGAATGTGGGACAAAACATCCATGCGTGCACATGCACATCCTCCTATACCGGTGGCTTCCAACCTCTGCCGGGAGGCGTTTGCTTGATTGACAGCCCGGTGATTATTGCAATCTGACCTTTGGACATGGTCTCGGGCAATGGCCAAATGACTCTTGTATCTTTCATCGGAGACCATGAACCCCAGACCATCCATCAATGACACTTCATCGGATGGATTCACCGCATGCATGTGCTCAGCTTTGAATTTTCCATCCATGACCAAATATCTAGTCATGAGCCAGGAAGGTGTATCGTCCAGCTGGGCGACTGTACCGGCAGACAGGTCCAAGTTTATACCGGGCTGCGGACATGCCGGGCAAAATAGAGCGAGATCACCGTCCTTTGGCTTGTCATCTTTGTGGGCAAATCCATGCCACTTGCAAAGTTTGCATTGTCGCCACTGCCTGGCAGCTCTCATGAGCTCTCTGTAGCGATCCTACGGATATCATTCTGTAATGACCGGATTATGAAGTACAGACTGAAACCCAGCTCACCGGAACCATCAGCGGAAATATGCTCGAGGTGAGTCTGCAAATTTTGCTGTAGTAATTCATGGCCGATGTACGGCACTCGAGATTGTCCAACAGAAAGTCGTCCAAGACAGCAAATGTGAATGCAGTTTTTGGTCTGGTGAAAGATGCCAGGAACAAGCCTGCTTGAAAGAGCTGCATGTCTTGGCTAAGAGCACTGGGGCAGTGGGAATACCATATGGAAAGGGAGTGAACACCGGACTTGTCTACTACAGTTATTGCCGGATGATCTGGGTCTCTGACCGGTTGAAAGAAAGGTCCCTCTGGATAGTCATTATCTATATTGTTGTCGGCGTCGGTATCTGACCATTGAAAGAAGTCTGATGAATAATTGGTGCTGCTGGGACATGGAGTGCCGTCATGAGCAAGGTGAATGTGCAGGCCAACTTTAGTGAGTGAAGTTTTGAAAAAATGATCTGGTCCATTGACTGATGCGATGGAATGGATGTCTTTGATGCCGAATTCTGCAACAGTCTGTGCAAAAGAGTGGCTCATTGAAACAGCCATGACATCTATACACTCCATCCTTCTTGCAAACTGAGCAAAGTCGTTCTGCTGGAGGGGCTTCTCTGACCATGAGTGAATTTATGTAGTCCTTAAATTTGCATTTCCATTGCCAGAGATATGCATTCTGACTCTGTATGATCTGGTAAGACTCGGGAAATGCAGATAATTGACATAACTGTTGCTTGCCTGAGATTTCGGAAATTTGGGCTGAGGGATGTCACCTTGGTCAAAGTCAAAGTCGGCACCTTCATATAGCAAGTGAGGGGACCCGGATGTATGCTTCGAGGGAGATTTTTTCGGCAATGATGTTACCGAATGTGTTTTCCGAGCCCATGAATCTTTCACCCAAGATGACCTGGATCCTCTGGTTGTGTTTTTTTCTTTGAGCTTATACAGCTGAGGCAATTGCTTCGTAGGAGGGGTGTATGTGATTCCCTTTTGTTTTGTCTTTGCCATATTGACTGGAAAGGATAAGTGTGCTGTAAACTTGATGACTTGGCGGCACATGACTCCACCGCGGTGCCTTCCATCAATTCCGGACTCCGGGTGATTTTGACGGTCGAGATTACCAAATGTTCCTATCTTAGTCATTGATGTGATGTCACCGGACATCTTGCAATATTACCTCCATTTGGGATATATTAAAGTTGGAGTCACTGAGGTCGCCATAGTTGCATGATCTAACAAACAACGTAATCCTGCCGTGAACCAGAGATTTCATGCCCAAGCCAGATGACAATTGACTGTATACAGTACGTCGACCGGAGGTTACATTTCAAGGTTTAAATACTTCGTTCTGGCCAGTGTTCCGGAGTGTTGGTCTCAGAAATGTGATTCCCAATCAATTAAGAGGATTTGGCAGAAATATATACATCTTTTGATTCGATGATTGACGAGTATGGCAAAGTGAATACATTGATTAAACTTCAGTCGAGGGCACTGGCATTGCAAAACATGCTGCGAGAGAACAGTTCCAACCAAAACCCACTCTAGAGACACAAACAGGCTTAAGACTTGTTTGATCTTCAGGAGACCGGCTGTTTGTATCCACATTCATACTGGCCTCCAAAGTCATTTGTGATCATGATACTTACTCGAGCAAGTGGTGGAATATGATTGCACAGTGCCCGTATGCAGTATTTGAAGGCTGTATGCTGCTCGTATACTATATAATAAAGGTCTAAGTCTTTATGCTTTTACAGTTCTCAATTCTATACATCAGAAACACATGGGATGTTAGAGAGCATCAGGCCAATGAACGAGTGTTGGACAATCGCTTGTTCAGTTTCCTGTCACGTACTTCGGTTATATCTGTATGCAGTATTTGAGGGCTGTATGCTGCCCATATACTATATAATACATGTCTAAGTCTGTATGCTTTTACATTTCTAAATTCTATGCATCAGAAACACATGGGATGTTGGAGGGCATCATGGCAATGAACTCGGAGTGTTGGACAGACTGTCTCTTGTTCGGTTTCCAGTCACGTACACTGGTTATGTAAGCTAATACTGTGGGATACACAAGGATCCTTTCTTCTACCAAGACGTCAACTGCTACTTTGCCATGCCCCGATCCAACTCATCAGTCGACAGCACCAAAAAGACCAAGCAGAAGAAATTGACCGAGGAAGAGGTGCGGGTCTTAAAATCCCACCTAGAAGAATGGAAGGAAGCCGCTGCCGACGATAGAAAAAAGATCTTGAAGGCCGTCGTAAAAGAGGCCAAGGTACATGCCCCTGCTATGGATGACCAGTCATTGAAGAACAGGAAATATGTGAGCAGTTGAACTCCAATTTTTATACATGATCACCGATTTTTATCATGATGTATTGAGATGTACCAGGACTGGTTATATAACCGCAGGCCTGAAAAGACGCGAAAGAAGAAGACCAGCAAGTTCGGTTAGAAATGGACTTCCCGGTCGGTCATAGAACAACTGCGCAAGGAGGATATCATCAAAAAGACTGGAGCGATGCCGGGATCCAAGAAATTTATTGAAAGATATCAGACAACACTAACTGCAGTCATGGACAGTAGACTGCGATCGAGTGGTCTGCCAAGGCTCCTCCAAGCGGACTTTGCAAAGAAGAAAGCACCCGGTATGATGAAGGATCTGGCAACCAAGTTGTGGAAGCAGGCCGGTATGAGAATCTTTATATTATCAGCATGGAAAACAGAGGAAGACGAAGTCCGGATCAACGGGTGAGTTCGACCTCACATTCAACAGGTAAAGATATACTGATCCGGCTGAAAGAATCGACTTCAATGAAAAGTTGGAGGGCAATAGTTTTATGGATACCAAGGACTGGAAGCCCATGTTATCAGAGTGGAATGCCTATGCTGGAGAAGAGTTCGGTGAGCTTCTGTTTGAACATCTTGGCTTCATTCGGTCATGTACTTATCCGACTTGGGGTGTTACCAGAAGTTGACCTGAATAATGATGACGATGATAATGAGGGGGAGGTGAAGAAGAGCAGGAGGAAAGGTGGAAAGAAGGACGATTATCCTTCGGCGATGGATAGCTATGGGCTTCCGGTCATACCGGACGTTAAGGAGCTTAACCTAGAGAGTAAAAAGTGTCTTATCCGGACATTCATCACAAAACACTACAGTAAGTTTCACAAATGATGCATCTGATGAGTTGATCGACTGACCAGCTATTCTCAGGGTTGTGCAGCCAACAACCAAAGGCATCTGTGCCCTGGGCCTCACTGAGGAAGGCTCAGGGTGACTTTATTGCAGCCAAGTTTTTACCTACCGGCTGCAAGTTGGATGATCTGTCGAAGATTTGGTTAGTTGATGCCGACCGGCTATTGGAGTTGTGGCGCCAAAGACAGAAGGACCAGGTTCACCCAACCTTTGAATTCAAAGGCTGGGAAGGCGATGATAAGACGATCAGAGAACCGGCAGAGATAATCTCCGGCCACAGTTCTGACTCGCTACCCAGGGTTCTGGTGAAAAAGTCGACTGGAAAGCCTAGGTCAAGTAATGAGGATGAGGATGATGACGACAAGGACGAAGATGATGATGAGCAGGAGGAGGAGGGAGGGGAAGATTCACAACCTTCAAAGTCCAAACCAACCAAGAAGCACCGCCCGGTGAGTCCATCTCCATCTGATTCCGAGCACGAAGATCCTCCCCCACCGGTGAAGAAACCTGTGCCGGTCCCAAAACCCAAACCAACCAAACCGCACCCCCGTTCCAGTCCGGTTCCATCTGATTCAGAGCATGAAGATCCTCCCCCACTGGTCAAGAAACCTGTGCCGGTCCCAAAACCCACGAAAAAGCGGGGTAGGGTTGATCCCATTCAACCGCATTCAGAGTCAGATCGTCAGCCACCGGTCAAGAAATCCAAGCTCACTGCAATTGGAAAGGACAGTCAGAAGACACCACCGGTACCGGTTCTGCTTCAACTGGTCATCGTCTTAATGACCCTCTGCCTACGTCTATAAGTCGTGCATTTGGTCCTACATCAGGTGTCCAGACAAGGAAACACACAAAAAAAACAGCAGTGCCCAAACCAACCACTCCTTCACCAAGAAAGTCCACCAGAAGGAAAGCCAAAGGACCTGATGCCCAGATTGCCAATCCGGTGCCAAAGCGCTCTCTTAGAAGTACAAATGCGTCCCATAAAGCTAACTATATGCACAAGTAGGCATTGGGATCTATGGACACAAGTATACTGGAGACAGGTGTAGATAGCATTTGACCGGATATATATATATAAACACTTCAGGTTGCAAGTTGCGATATTGAGATCAGTTGACATGCCAGCAATAACTCTTGTGCACAGTCAAGAACTTGCTGTATCGCAAAGGCTGCATCTGGCGACATGGCATCACCAGCCCGGTCCATATCCAACCGGTGCAGGCTCAGCATGAGATGAACTTACATTCGCCCATGCTTGTGCAATCCATCAAAGGGTTTTTGTAAGTGTGTTCCTCGCGCCCTTCCTCCAAGATATCAAATACTGCCATGCCGGCTAATGTCAACCGGTACATTGTGGGATGCAGTAGTTGCTTACCTTCATCCTCACTAGATACATATTGATTTTGCTGGGAAATTGCCAATGATCGCATCCTTCTATTTTTCTTGAACGGGTTGTATAAATCCACGGTCTTCATGAGATCACCGGAAGAATCAATGTTCCAACTGTTAGTTATATGATCATTCACCTCTACAGTATGCTCTTTTCTATCCTTTTCATGGTCTCTATACGTACATATTCATTACCTATATTTCTCTGACCATTCACTCACTTTCCTGACCTCCCTAGGACTTGTCTAGGTCGAGTTATCCCTTACCTTTGTGTTATGGCTTGTCTGTTTACATTTGTTTACCATACATCGCCCATCCAGTGCTCCCTGCCTCTTTGGCAACTTACTCTGGACTCTAGTCCTGATCATCTTTGGTCACTCAGGAGCCTCTAGAAGCGGCCCATTCAGTTCCCATTGCAACATCGTGGTCCTCAGCACCCTCAGCCCCCTCGTGGCTCTCAACCCCCTCGTGGCCCTTCATCTGTTGTCTAAACAGTTCTAGTGTGACCTTCAAATTGCCTCACCCCGCAAAGTCAATCCACAAGAAGTGAGAACCAACAACATATTCATCCAGCAAAAATTCTTGGTACAACAGAACATGTGCCAACCTCCACCACCCCAGAACACAAACCTAAGCACCACTGCCCCACCCATACCACCTGTAATCATATCCACTGCCACCCCAGCTGTAGTACCGCAACCCAGCTTCCATGGAGACTACGAAAAGTGTGAGGAATCTACCAACTGGATCAGGAAGTATCTACTGTCCTTCCCACCATCCTACTCAGATGTAGATAAAATCACCTGGTTCGAGCTACAATGTGCAGCTGCAAGTTCTGTGGAAGCATGGTTCACTGCACTCCCGGCAGCAGACACAGCATTGCTGACAGCCTTCATCACAGCCTTCAAAAGGTGTTGGCCCCTGCCAGCCCATGTTGTACTCACAGTGGGCCAGAAGAAAGACTGAATATGCTCAATTGTCCTAAAAGAAGAAGAGATTGGTGTCATGATAGAAGAGGATAGAGGCAGGGAGTTGGGACATGTCAAATGGGCAAAGAAGATAGCTTGGACGGCACAAGGGTTCAATGATTCGCAGTGTCACTTGTTAGATGTGGTTCTGAAAAGTATGCCAGAGGTGCTACGTGATTTCCTCTCAGATGACTACACAACCTTGTTCGACTTCAAGGCTGATGTTGGAAGAATCTCAGTGTCTCAGCTACTCAAAGTGAAGCAATGACTTGTGGCAGAGAAGAAACTGCACGAAGATGTCAACAAGTTGCAGATGCAGATAGCAAGCAGCCAAGACAAAACACTAATGGGGTACTGATATACACAAGCCACAGCAGGATAACCTCCCCAGCATGTTCAGCCAATGTCAAGTCATGCAATACATATCACAGCAGTTTCCCACATCGCACACACCCCGAACGGATGCAAGGATGGGTATGGCACCATCTTGGGGCAGAAACATATGACCACCCTACCGTCAGAAAGATCATTACAGTGCTACACCCCATTGTGTATGCCTCAAAGTGCGCATCTCCAACTGAAACTAAGTACAAACCATACATATAGGTATTTGCTGCACTAAAGTTTGTGCTAGATCAATTGTCAGATATGATATGGGGTGCACAGATAGAAGTGGACACAGATTGCCAGACACTCAGAGACACTCTCCTAAGTCCGAAGTTAGATGTAGCACATGTGTGATGGCATGATTGGATACTTGCTTATCATATTGTCGATGTTCATCATCGAGCTGGAACGACTAACACTGCCGCAGACGGTCTGAGTTGCAGTTTCAGTACCACAGAATCCACAGAAAATGATGGCCAAGCTGTGGAATAGGACTACTAAGCAATGCCCAAAGGTAAGGGGGGCTACCATAATATCTTACTAATCATAGATGTATTCTCCCAATACATTTGGGGACTCAAGCTCAAGGTTCATGGGATGGCCAAGACCACCATTTCAGGACTTAACAAAATTTAGCAAGAAACCACCACCTCAGAAAAGTTCACGACCAACGGAGGAAGACATTTCGACATCAAAGAGGTAACTGACTGGTGCAAAATACATGGCATAGAGCACCATTGCAGACCTTCATAATACTGCGTAAGAAGGTATTATGAGTGACTTTTTGTCCACTTACTCAATAGTAACAAACTATGAACAAGCCCGATGATCTTCTGCAACTAAACTCTACTGCAAGAGGGTCTATGCAAAACAATTAGGGTCTGATGTTTCCAACTCCTTGCAAAAAGCAATAAATAGCTCCTGTTACGCTAAGAGCGTAGACTCAGGTAGGAACTCTGTACTAAGTCTCAACGTGAGATGAAGATAATGCAGAGGTTCGTTTATCGTTATCGTTGAGGTCTAAGCTTGGTGACAAGAGTCGGCAAGCGAAGACAAGACTAAATGGTATCGATCGAGTTTAAGACACTAAGACGAAGAGTCTTAAGTGAAATCGTATACGAGAGCTGTCTTGCTCAAGGAAGGTCTATCAGAAGACTGAGTAGATTCAAGTTAGAGAATACAGGACAGGCTGATCGACTACTTATAGGTAACAACGACTTCAGGGCAGGAATACCGAGACAACGGTAAGGGTACAGGGTACAAGATAAGAGATACGAGATAAGACAGCGATCAGAGATGCTATTCAAGAAGATGATGAGGACGTCATAAGGCAGTACAAGGTGGGAGAAAAGATAGGGGGGTCCGGTCCGAAGCATGTTATCGTAACAGCACCAGTAGGTTGATGTACTTTCCCCGGTCGTTCTTCTCTTCATTCACCCAAGATATGAACTCCTGGGAGCTGACCCAACCAGTGGGCCACCCCAAAGTCCCAGCCAAACAGTCAGCTTTACTCCAAATGTAGTATACAGCTTAGAAGATAAAACCTGCAACAGCATAAAGTAATCCTTTCTTGTAATGAGCCTGAGAGTGGCAAGATGGCTCCTCTTTATTGTGATTGTAGCTCTGGGGAAGTGTATTTTGAAGCAGCAGAACTGTTGGAAGGTAAAACTTCTCTTAAAGTCATAATACGTCTGGTCATCCAAGTTGATTCCTGCGGAGCACACACTGTGCTTTTCATGAACCTTGCAGTCAACACCAAAATGAACAGGGCAGAAATTCTACAACTTCCTTATGTATTTGTCAGGGGGCAAAGTGCAGTCCAATTGACTATGAAGACCTGCAGTGACTCTAGTGCTTCTGGTGGATCTTACCGAGTGGTGAGTTGGCCAAACATTGCCTAAAAGGTCAACTGCTGATCGAAGATGATGTGGTGTGTGAGCAGCCTCTGTGGTGTCGAGTGCTCTCTCCATTTGAGGAGTTACTTCATGAACCTTTCCAAATAGTGCATCACTATCACATGGAGATGATGCTTAAGAGGATGATGGTCTGGAGAATGATAATTGGAAGGAAGGCGGCCCACAGGAAGTAGGCTGGGAGATTTGAAATGAGCTAAGCACTGGAATTTTGGCAGTAGTGCTTGCTGCAGGTGAGGAAAGTTGTTGTACTGATGCATTCTTAATTGCTTGCAAGGCAATACAGAATTAAAGGAGATAGAGACACTCACAATACTCAATGTGGGTCTTAAAGGTAGACTGCCTTTTAAATGAGCCTGAGCAGGTAGGAATGGGACAGCAAATCATCTCATCAGAGGTACAGGATAAATCATACTGAACACCAGAAATGAGGACCAAACCAGGGTGGGAGTTGTGCTCCCAGAAGTGTTGGTCAGACATGATTGGGCAATCAAGATGGAAATATTGCAAGGTACTAGGATACAAGATGAAGACTTGGAGGGAAGTGTTTAAGGATGTTAAATATCAGAATTCACCTTGTGAGAGACAAGCTGCAGGGCTGAAGAACTCAGGGATGATACATGTAGGCAGCAGGGCATATGACATGTAATGTAACTGTACTATAGGACTTGAAAAAGTGTCAAGCTAGTGGAAATGAAATAGGTACTTGGAACCAGAGAATGGAAGGCAAATAGGAATGGACAGCAGGGCCAGAAGGTGTGTCATATAAGTACAAGATCTAAAAACAGGGTAGTCAGCAAGTTGAGTGGTCTTGACATAGGACACCTTGGGTTCAGTGAATGAGGGTGGAAGAGGTGGAGGATCTCTTCAAAGAAGAACATTGGCCATGGTGTAAGGGGTCTATAAGTGAAGTTGTGAGCAGTATAATTTTTGATGGTGTACCTGGGGACTTATTGAGAAAGTAGTGTTAATGAGCGAGTAGAGGTGAAGCAGGTAATTGCGCAGATATAAAGTGCCCACCATCATCGGGGCGCTAAGTTGAAGAAGGTCTGACAAAGTCCGGTGAGTTGCTGCAAGAAGTCATGTGATCTCAATTGTGCTTCCTGGATCAGGTGAAATCCCAGCAATCAAAAATGGCAAGGGTGGTAGCTACTGGTGATGGGAAGGGTGTGTGTCAGTTGGGTTCACACCTGGCCCTTATTAAATGAACATTGAAGTACTGTAAAGCACTGTAAAGCACTGTAAAGCACCGTTATGGCAGGGTAAAGTACATAATAATGTTGGACACCTCGAGAAATTTACAAAATTGATGTGGTAAAATTTCTAGCACTCTGTATAAATCAAGCATCTTTCACTTTATGTGCGCTTGACAGTGTTGCCATGCACATTTGCGGTGCCCCAACAGCACCACCAAGCAACCATGAATTTTGTTCCACTCCATCAACAACAACCCTAGACAGACTGAGAGTTCATCTTCTCTGTGTGGTCTTTTACTTGTAGTCCACACCTCCTTTTCCTTTGTGTGACTTGTCCGGGACATCCATCATGGTAGACATCCAACTGGATTCAATTTTCAGAGGCATTGAGCTTCAATGGAATAAAATCCACAATGCACTCAACTAGCTTCTGAAATAAAAGGAGTATAAGTCAAGGAGGTAACAAAGACACTGGTGCGATATACAATGTATGTAGTATTCATTGAAGAAGAAAAAAACATGCAATACAATATGATAGGGTTTCAGGAGAAATCCTCCTCCAAGTCATTCATTATACTTAACACATTACTATCAACATCATTGAAAGTCTTCTCTGTTTGCATCAACCCACATGCTCAAAATACACCATGTGAAACACCAGCACTTGTGTCTGAATTTAGGGATGGGTTTACACCCGAATTTTTGCCGGGTTTCTTGATAGTCTGACAGTGTTCAAGTAAGTTGCATATAAACATGTCAGAAGTGGGACTTACCTTGGTGTTTTTGCGTGCAGGGCGCCGTTTCTTGGACTTCATGCCCCGACTTGAGCTGGCATTTAGGGCCATGGTAGAGGTGGGATGAGAGTGGGGAATGGTACCCTCAAACCTAGTCAATTTGTCAGGGCCACTAGTCGGAGCTATTTGAACCTCATTGCGTGGCCAATTCAATGAAAGAGTAAAGATCATGGCCATTTCAATGATTGTGGTGAAAGACTAAAGATCACAGTCAGAATGATTCAGGTGATTGATGATATGTAAGACGCACCGGCACGAGTGTATATAATCCATTGAATTCAGCACCTCATGGCATGCTCATATTAGTATGTTTCACATATTTTCATGCATAGCAAGACAAGATAGGAAAAACAATGCGGTCACAACATCGATAGTGACAAAAAAAATGATATCAATATGTACCTATTCAGATAGAATTTCTTTGACCCATCTTGACTGAACTGGGAAACAAGCTGACATGGGTGCAGACCTCAGTTCACGGGTAGAATGACAGCATTAAGTCCCCCACTGCCATGAAGACCTTGTGAGCCTGGAACTCTGAAAATTTGCATCAAATGTTTGAAGAGGCCTAAACCAATGGATATATGCAAGGGGGTGGGGAAAATCTCTGAAACATAATGGGAGGTCAAAAATCACCTTTACTTCACCAACATGAAGACCTAAATTAGTGTAGTGAGAAACCATAGACAGTCATAAAATGATGATACT